ATGCGATGTCTTAAAGCAACAACAACAACCACAACAGTAGCCACAACGCAGAGCTTAATTAAATTGCATTAAGTCGGCTTTAGGGTTTTGGGGCAGCGGCAATTGTTTGTTAATAAAAGTGCCATAATTTATGCAGACGCTGATTTTAATTCATTGCTGTGGCTTTAACATTTTGCAAGCCCACTTTTCATTACACACATGGCTAGCGAGAAGAGACGAGATGATGGTGCTGTAGTCACTGGGAGGCAGGCGCTGTCTGTCATGGTGTGGCAATTATTGACAACGACTTGTTGGCGCCACGCAATTTCCGTTGATGCGTGGCAATGCAATTATGAAAATTATGCGCCTGTATCCTGTGTGACGTTCAGCCACGACCTGCCCGTCCTCTTTTGCCTGTGCAAATCAGTCAGGCGCACAGATAATGTCACCCATAGGGGCTTAGCACACACAAAAAAAAAAATGCATAGCTTGATAATGGAGAAAACCATGCCAGTCTTCAGATGTCAACGGCTGATGATGTGGCTTTTGTGCGTCAAGTTGTAGTTGACTTGAGCCTGCAAGTAGAGTGAGAGAGAGAAAGTGCTATGTGTGTGTGTGAGTGCGCCAGCATTACTTGTCAAGAGAGCTTCAATTTCAATGGCGTTTAAGTGTGTCGTCGTCGTCTGTCGGCTTCGTCTGTCGTCTGTCGTCTGTCGTGTGTCGTCTGCGGTTGTTGCAGTTGACACATAAGTGGCCTTTAATGATATCAAACTTCATGCGTTGCTTTCATTGCTATTACAGTTAGCTACTCTCCTTCCTGCTCTCTCTCAGTCTGCTTAGTTTGCATGTACAACTTTTCCATACAACTGTCATTCGGGTACTTTCATTTGCAGTCTTCATAAACAGATAAAAAGTCCGTAGAAGTTGACGAGACCAAAGGGATTGAAATACATGTAGGCAGCCTAGCATCATAATATTCATCTAAATAGGTTCAAGTAGCACTTACGGTTGATCAAGTGCCTGTGATATAAGTTGGGGTAGCAAAATTATGGTTAATTCAAGTCAAGAGTAAAAGTTTGTTGGTGCAGACCAAAGCCGCATTGAATCATATTCTGTTTTAAACATATTCCCCCAAACATTACATTATCGAATCACAATTTTTTAGCCCAGCTGTTTGCCTCAAATTATTTCAACGTATTTCAGCGGCCACAATCTGAAAGTTTCAGTAAATTATTGTGTTAAAACTTTCCATGCATAATCATAACGCAAGCAGTGAAAAGGTATAACACCTTGAAATACCCTGTTAAGAAAAAAATTAAGCATCAGTTCATTATATAATTAAAGTAATCTAAATGCTTCATATTCTAATTTATTGGCATAAATATGGCGTGTGTTTCTGTACCCATAATTGGACCAAGAAGAGCTAGTTTTTTAATTTAAGGCTAAGAATTATTGTTATTCCCATTGTCGTAGACGTTATGCGGCTTGTGGCCAGTGGAAAACATCTGCTGGCGGCTCGGCCGGCGACCCTTGTGAATTTGAAAAGTGCTTAGCCATGACAAAACCTTTTTTCCACTTACAGGCCACTCGGCTAGAACCGCCGAGGGACGCCGAAAGTGGCGCTGGCGGAAGGACGCAGCAGTTCGCACCCAAGCCGCATTATTTCCAAGCGCCTGGGCAGCAGCTACTTTCAATGGCAGTTTTATGCGTCCAACTCGAATGTTCTTTGCGCGCCTTTTCAATAATGAAAAAATGTACGAGCTTTGAATTTTCAAATGATACAGACGTGGGTGACGTGCGGCAGCGCGGGGATGCTTTTGGCGAGTCGGCAGACAACTACAGTCGCAAAGGAAATAAGGCAAAGCAAAGTTTGGAAAGTGGACGTCGAAGTGGAAAAGGCAAATTAAATTATTTCTCATGGAAATGCGGCAACGGCGACGACAACCAACGACTTTGGCCAAATTGAAAAGCGTTAACGGAAATAAAACTAAAATGCGCTGCGCGTGGAAAATTACAATTAAATTGACTTTACCGGCGATGCGATAAAAGTAAATTAGCATAACTTAAAGACTTGGCAATCCAATTGTCGTAAATGTATATGTATATTTAATATATACAGCTGTATATTCCATCTCTAATCCACTTTTACCTGCCGGGTTATCCTTATAGCCAGCTCAACTGTCTTTTGTTATTAATGCCACTTGGCAGCTTTGCTCGTCCACTTCAGCTCAAGTGGTCGCTGCACCTGCACCGAGCTACTGCAGATGCCCCCGTCCAGTGGCCTGCTACCCTTGCCTGATATCATGCGCTACTTGTCGCTGCAGTGCGTCTTATATTTTTGTGAGCATAATAAAGTGCAGCAGTCAACCAGGCTGGCAGACAAGCAGCTCTCGTCGAGGGTTTCGGGCCAGCAACAAAGCGTAAAATGTGAATAGACTCCATGACTGTAGCTGGACTATGAAAAAGTTCAAGTCGGGGGCGTGTCGGGCATGCAAAAAACAAAAAAACCAAAAACAAAAGCACCAAGCGTGTCCTGACTGGATAATTGAAAGCAACTTTGCGACTTTGCCCGCATGAAATTGGCTACATTCTTTTTTTTTTTCTTCTTTACTTATTTTTTACTTTTGTTCTTGCTGCTCCTTCTGTTGCTGTTGTTGTTGCCATTGTCTGTGGTGCAAGTAGTTGCTCCACACGGAAATTGAAATGTCAAGTGTGCTGCGATGTGTGAGCAAACGGAGCAAGAAAATTCAGGTATGGATCAACATTCGTGCCGAACTGACGCCGCTATTAATGCGCTTAATTGTCAAAAAAAAAATAATAATAATAATAAAATTAACAATTATTCGCGAGAGAAAACCTTTAACCGTTTCCCCTTATGCCCATAATGTGCCCGTAGTGCCATCAGGCAATGATCCAGCCTACTCGTCGCACTTCCTGACGGCTCTCGGTTAACTGCTGTTTGCTTAATGGAAAATACGTGCTTCTCCATAATTGGATTTTTTGATTTCGTTCGCGTTGCGGCTGTTAAAATCGGCGGAGTGTCAATGGATGATGTAAAATGTTTTCCAATGGCTCCACAAATTGCTTTCAATGTCAGTTACCAAAAAGTCACCTGGATAGATCAAATAAAAAAAAAACAAAACTTTTCTGATAATTAAAATCGGTTTTTGCAATTAAAATATTTGGCGATAGTTTATTTTTGCTACTAAATAAATACTAACGATTTTATTTAAAACAAAAAATAGACAGGGAGAGAGAGAGCCCCAAAAAGCTGAAACTGACAAATCCTTGACTTACATTCGTTTGCTTGAATCGTATACCAAAATAAATGGAACATATATAGAACATATAATCAGCAACAAGATATACAAGTTTATTTGAAAGTCTTCGTTCTTTAATATAAAAAGAAGAAACACTAAAACAAAGGATACAATTTCAAGTGTATAAAATATATTTGATGCTGCGATGCGCTCTTTCTTTTCGCACTTATTTCTATTAAATGTCGTTAGAACGCATGTTGGTTGAGTTTATTGCAATTTACTGACTCGGCACGTGACAAACGAGCCGCACGTTTCTCCCATTGTACGCGACAAAGACACTGACACACACAGATCACACATACGCAGCGGTGGCCCCTAAAACAGTCGGACATTTATCGTGGCGTTATTTATAGCACAACAGTAGCTCGATGTAGGAACTTGTTCCCCTCAGCTTAATAACAATACATTCATTTCGTCAACCAGCTTTGAATTTCATGAAACTGAGCTCACTCACATGTAAGCAGCTTCGAATTAATCAGGCCATAGACAAAACAGTACAAATAAATCATGATGATTATTATAATATGACTCAAGATGTTGGCATTGTCTTACATTTATTACAGATTGACAGTATGTTTAAACTATGTACCTATATGCATTTGGCTTGTTTGACAGCATCTCGATTTGTTTTGTCTTGTTTGCAACAGTCCAGAATATTAATTTGCACGCATGAACAGATGCACAAATTCACATATAAATATATATGTATATATATGTATTCATTATTTACACTTATATATATATATATAGACTAAAATCATAGCATATGCATTGTTGGGCATCCTTATTGTAAGGTAAATATGGCAGCTTGTTTGCCTTTCTACCTCTGTTTTCATTTGTTTTCATGGACATTGTTGCTGCTTCGTCCTGGCTGTCCATCTACTGCTTCAACATGTAACTTGGAGATTATGCACAAATATTGTATTATAGATTGCAGTAAATGTAAGCATCTTTCATACTATTAATTCCTTCAACCCAAAAACTTTTGCAAGCCTTGCGAAATCAATGATAAGTGTGCATGCAATAGTCAAAAGCCAGCAGCATAGAAAACACGCTAGGTAGCTTCTATTAAAGTAATATAAATAAATATAAACAAATTTGTAACTTTGCTCTTCGTAATTTTCAATATTTCCATTATGCTGAAAACCATCACATGTATTCATATATGTGTTCCGCATGGCAACTGGTTTTTTCTTATTATTATTTCTTATTTTGAATTATTTTATTTAAATTTGTAGATGGAAGTTAGAAGTTTAAACTAAAAAATAATGATATAAAAACATGTTCATGTTAAGCAACGTTTCGAATTTGAACATCAATTCTAACGTCTTATTAATTATGGTAATAAGGCAATTAGCTCGAAATAAAGGGAAAATTTCACGAGCATTTTCAATTGTAATAGGTAACCGCATTAAAGGTCGTGACTTTCATAAAACACAGAAATCACCCAAATGGCTTATTGCTTAACCGAATGGGAATTGGGAATTCAGTTAAATTAGTGCAATGCTAGGCCAAGGATGTCGTTCTGGCTGGCCAGGTTTGCTGGCAATATGCCTGTTGAATGGAGCATTCTTGCCCACATTTGTGTTAGCCAGAAATCAGGAATATTACAATTTTGGATTTGTTCACAATCTAACGAAACATTTGCATTTGCGCCACAAGCTTGAGTGCTTTATCACTTTTGCCGCAAATCGCAAGCCGATGAACCCATTACCAGGTCAGTTTTTTGCCCGCTCACTGGACCGTATACTGGTAGAGGATCTGAACATACCGCATGTCACCTGGGGTCTGCAAAACAACGTTACCCTGAGCGGCATATTGACCGTCCAGAGTCTGGTCTTTGTTACCATCTACAACTTGCCGCCAGAGCAAGAACCCATGCTGGATGTGGTCGACCAAACGTTGGATGGTCGTCATGAGCTACGCGTTCTCTTCATCCTCAAAACACGAGAAATGTCGGCACCTTTAATAGAGCAGATATATGCATTATTTGTTTGGTGCTGGCAGCGGAACTTTATCAATGTTGCCTTGACCTATCAGCGAATCACATTTATCAATGGAAGCTATAATGTGCATGATGAGCTCTTCAGCTATACGCCCTTCCCCAAACTGAGGGTACTTAATGTGACCGGCCTTGGCGTTACCTTTAACTGGGAAGCCCTTGATGTCAGCAATGTAAAAGGCTATGAGTTTCGGGTGCCCGTCTTTCAGGATGTGGTTCAAGCTTATGTGGTGAGTGGGCCAAGATAAATATATTTAAACATTCTGTCACGGCTTACATTCTTACTTTTATATGGTTACCCCTCAGCTGCCCAATGGACAACTGTACGGAACTCTCGGTTTGATGCTTAGCAACTACATAATTCATATTAATGGGCGATTGCGTGTGGAGGAAACACCTCATGTTAACGAGGGCAACTACCACTCTTACACGCTGATGTTGGCGTCACGTGGCGTTATCGATATTGGTGTGCATGGATATTCGCAGATGACACTCAGTTCGGAGCAGGCAGAGGGCGGTTTACTAACCTCAAACACGAAAACCTGCCTCATGGTGCCCTGGCAGAAGGAGCAGCCTCTTAACAGACTCATACGCTTCAGTTTCCGTTACAATGGAATACTATTTCTGACGTTGGTTGTGTCATTGACGCTTGGCTGGCACCTGTACGCCCGCGTTGCCAGTAAGGGCTTTTATTTAGCATTGGTCATTTTCCATTTACAGCCCGTGAACGAATGTGTTTTCAGGCGTTTTACTAACGCGTACAAAATCATGCATATGGCTTTTTTATTCAGTGCTTTCATACTATGGAATGTGAGGATGGGATATCTATCGGCGGCTCTAAGCGTCAAGCTCCCACCGCCTCAGATAAATAATCTTGAAGATTTCCTGCGATCACCATTGCGGATCATGGTCACTGAAAGTGAAGTTGCAATGTACTTCACACGCGAATTACTGCCGGCAGCTTTGCAGCCGCGTTTGCTAGTGGTCAACGCGTCCACTTTGTTGGAGCACCGGAGTAGCCTTAATACCAGCTACGCCTACTGCATCACTTCTCGACGTTGGGAGCTTGTTCGGTTTCAGCAGGCGAGACTGCGTCATCCGCTATTTCGCCGCCTCGATGCAAATCTCTGCACATCGACTTATTTTAGAAAGATTCCCCTGCAACGGAACTCGCCATTTAGTGAAAATTTGGCGCAGTTTTATATTGCATCCCTTTACACTGGCTTCTACTGGAAATGGGAGCAATTGAGTATTATGGAGGCAGTGAATCTGGGTTTACTTAAGATCTATCAAGATGTGGAGCTGTCATATGCAAGCTTGAATCTGAAAAGTATTGAAGTGCTTCTAAAGATGTATGTACTGTGTGTTGGAGTCTGTCTCGTGTGCCTTATATGTGAAATTATCTGGCATCATCGAGTGAATAAGAGAAATAATATAAATGATAATTATAATAATAAATAATAATTATAATTGTTTATGCTCACAAGCACAAATAAATAAACGCCTATTTAGAGCAAAATAAAATATTGATTATTTGAAAAACGGTATTTTAAGATTTTAACAATGAAAAATAAATACCAGGTGTTTTTTTTACTTTTCTTGAAATACATTCATATCAATTATGAATGTTAACACACATCATGATGACAATAAGAGTCTTTCATCATGATGGGGAAAGTTAATTAATCGATGACCAGTTATCGATAACATGATGAGCGATTCCGTTTCCGGCTCATCATCTATGTGAATAGAGAGAGGACTATAGTCCTAGCAAGATGGCATCTCATACAAAATTGAATACTTTTTTTCGACTTCCGGAGTATTGTTGTGGTACAACCACACACAGATACAAGCATTCATCTGTGTGGGCAAGAGGCATTTTCAACGTTTGCTAGATGACAAATAACTGTTTAGGTTGCTTCAGTGCACTGCACAGTTTTATACACAGACACAAAAGCACTCACACACACGCACACACACGTTTGCCGCGCAGGGTCCTAACAGGGCAACAATGTGTCTTCGTTTCCGTCATGGCTGCCATTTCCGGCTAACGAATTCTGGGGAGCTGCTCACGTGCCCCTTTGTAAAAAGAAACAAGCGAGTATCCTACAGCATGGAGGGATGACTAGAAGATGCCCTGCAGCTATAATTATCTAATATTTATCTAATATTTGTTATATCTAGTTAGCATATTTGTATTTGAGAGTTAGATAAACGAGACATATTAGATTGACTATTAAGGAAACTCTCCTTGACTATGGTTCCTAATGAAGAATAGATATCCCTGTGAAGTTTAAATTTCGCAAATATCAGTCTCTGCTTGTTACCATAGCGCATCTATGTGATGCCCTTTCGTTTAAACAGTTTAATAGGTGTAGGGTATAAAACGAAAATCCAGCAAATACCGCTATGAATGTGTAACTATCTGAATGTGTGTGAGTTTGCTTTTGTCGGTGTGAGTGTGTGAGTGTGTGTGTGTGTGTGTCAGTAAATTGATTGAAATGGCCAGCAGCGAGTGCTCCCAGCATACACTGGGCCCAGCGGAAAAGCAACAATTTTGCTGGCGCTTCGTTTCATTTAGCCCAAAGCTCTCTAGCTCATTTTCAGCCGCTTTTTGTATTTTTTCTTGGTATCACAGTTTATTGCTTGCTTCTTTGTGCTGATTGTCTGTTTGCTTTGTTGGAATTTTCTTACAAAAAAAAAAAAAAAAAAGAAGAAAGCATACATATATTTTGTCCTGCTTTGACTTCCGTTTTGGGCTTAACCGCTGCCCAATTTTCATTATTGCCCTGGCCTCTCGTTGCCGTTGTTGTTACTCAGTTTCCGTCTGGCCAGTAAATGGCATCATTATCATCTCGACAGCTGCCGGACAAAGGCTAAGCCATCAGCTAACCCGCTGGGAGGATTGAACTACGTTCCGTTCGGTATTCAGAATTACTTACATACGACCTACGATTTGACTGCTTAATTTGTTTGATATTTATGAGCTTTGATTGTTTTTGTTGTTGTTGCTGTTGTAGTCTCGGCTTTGTTACAAAAGATTTGGCAAATTAATTGAGTTTGTTTTGTCAAATTTATGTTAACTGCAATACCCAGCAGAAGACTTAATTAGCAAAGGGCCGCCTCAATGGTAGCTGCGACAACGGTCTGAACTGCTCGACTGTATTTTATGGATAAGCAACAAAATAAACAAAAATTATGTTAAAACTTTGCCGACTCCGCCCTCAACATGCAGAGATGGCAGCGGAAAACTCAATTGGAAAGTTTGTTGTTCATTTCCGTTCGCTGGGCGGACTGCAACCGGAAGCGGGAGGTGTCGACCGGCAGGGAAATGCATTTGAATCTAATATGGCGTTCACTGTTCCGTTTTCAGCTCGGCCCTGGACAAAGTTCGTGTTCGAGGCACGCCCGCTGACATTCTCAACTATTGGCCCCAACGCAGCTGCTCGCGTAACTAGGCTACAACTGTGACTGCGACTGCGACTGCGACTTTGACTGCGACTAGAACTGCGACTGCAACTGTATACAATTATAGTTGCAGCAGCAGTTGTTGGTGCTGTGCTGCATAAATTAACTTTGTGTCTTTTTATTCGCATTTAATTCACTTTTTATGCTGTTGCTGGCCGGGCAACGTAGTCGTCGTTGTCTGGGTTGTTGGTTGTTGGCGCATCGTCGACGTCATTTAGCGCCTTGTCGACGCTTTGTTAATTCAAAAAGTTTTAATAATTTTACTTTTCAACAGGCACGGAGCAACAGTGCCTGGCAAGCGGGCATGCAACAAGTGTGCATAGTGCGTCTGTGGATAGGATTTCCCTCTATCATATTTTCCCCATTTCACTGTTTCTAAGTATTTTGCATAGCATTGGCCATTGCATACTTTAAGAGCGAGAAACAGAGCGCTGTGGAGTAACTTTTAAATAATCACTTATGCAGCTTTCAAATTCTATAGCAGCAACTCATGAACATAATTCCTTGTGCTTGAACTTTGTGCTTAAGCGTACTCACAATTAATTACTTAATAAACTGTGTGGGAAACCTAGAAAATTAAAAAATACTATTGTAGCTAAATTTTAGATAGATACCATTGATTGGGTACTAAGTAGTAAGCGGGTCTTGTCAAATTGGAGTTAATGAAATTGCTTGACAAATACTCAAGCTGACAGGCTGATCCATAAATGCCAGGAGCTGACCACAACAACGCCCTCTAGTTGGCCACGTCCCCGGCCACGGCAGCCACTCAAGTTAATTCAATGCGAAGTCTCTCAAGCATGCATACCTACTTACAAACACCTACACACTATGGTGTGGTATAGTGTGGCAGCCTCATAAAAGTGGCAACAGACACGGCACTTGAAAAACTCACACGGTCGAGCTGCAACTGGAGCAGGGGCAGAACAGGCAACAACAGCAGCAGCAGCTGCCCGACAGGACCTGCCACTTGTGTGCTATATGTCGCGCATTGCTGTTGTTGTTGATGATTTTCTTGTTGCTCTTGCCATTTTTTATTTAGCTCATAGTTAGTTGAAGCTAGAGCAACAACAACAACTTGTTTGTAACAGCTGCCCGACCGAGTTCATTGCCGCTACTCGTTATGAGCCCTTTTTATTACCATTATTTGGTTATGTGAATAAAACCATATATATACATGCAAATATATAGGCCTGAATTTTGAAACGGATCAAAACTTGTTCATCAAATGGTCATTGATGAGTTGTTGCTGCCAGCTCTGTTGGTAATTAGTCGCGCAAACACAAAACTCAACTTCATAATTCAAATTTGGCAAACGAACGCACATTCAAACCGGCCTAATGCAAATTTATAGCGTTGTGGTTCAGTGGTTCAATGGTTCAGTGGTTGAGTGCTAGGACTAGCCGACTGGCTGACGACGAGAACAGTTTGGCAGCGTGAAGTTCGTTACCATTGAAAATTGCACAATTTACAACGTCAGCAACGACTAGAGCAACAATTCAGCACATAAAGCACATCATGAGGCAATATATTAGAGTCCAAGTGCACATTTTCCGTCAGCAAACGAGCATTGCAGTACGGTAGGCGTGGCCTTGTGACAGTGCCTTAACAACTCTCCGCCCAGAGGCAATGGGGCGAATGAGTAACAGTAGCTGTAGCTCGGGCCAACGGCTTTTCTAATTATGTGCCACAAAGCGAGCCATGAAAATGTTGCACAATTCTTAAGAGTCCACCAGTCGGGCATACAAACATACTATATGTTAATGCATGGTATATATGTAGCTCATATATCTAATGGCTTATATTGTACACTTTCAAAATATTTGTCAAATTTCTTAATTGCAATGCCAGACTTGATCCAACTTATTGAGGTCAAATAATTAAGTACAAAACTTGCCTTTTAAATGAAATATTAAAATACTTATAAAAAACTAACAGAGTTAATTTTTATTACGCCTTAATCAATGTAAAGTATAGTTAAGATATAGTAAATATGTGATGACATAGATATGAATTGCTAATTTATAAAGAGGCTGACTGTAATAGACGATGTGTTGACCACAACAGTATTTGCTTACTTGCTAGAGAATAGCTTGTAGTATGTTTTTTTCTTAATTATATCTAAAGAAATAGTCTTATTCATAAATATTTAAAAATGTGTATTAGTACAGTTGACTTAGCATTAAAAGCCAGCTATTTATTCACTATCTTTTATTAGATGGGTTAAAAACCGATTTATACCCTTTTTATTACACGCTTCTCAACTTCTTTTTTTTATCACTTTATTTATATCAAAATGTCCCATTTACTACGAAATAAAGCTTTACATTTACAGATATGCATGCAGCTGATGCTAATTTGATTATGCATTGATCAAAACACAAATTCACCTACACATATACACACACATATACACACATGCATTCGTGCTATTGCTGTTTTTGTAAGGCCTTTGCATATTAAGTAGATGTTTTATCGTTTATTGCGCACACAGACAGGCATAAACGTATATTGCTTACATAATTTAACAAACATTTTCATTTGGCGGGCTTGTGTGTCTTGCGAGCATTTACTTGCCCGGCCTGGCCTGGTCAAGTCGTCGGCCCATGGATATATGTACACATGGCTACACACATGCTCCACCAATGAGGCATGTTTAATGATTATTGCATTTCTTATTTTTATTTATATTTATTTATCTTGGAGTTGGCCGTGGGGTGCATAAAAATTTCGCTAACCGCCGTTGGCTGCTTTTCTTCTCATTTTTTCCTATACCCTGAACCAGTTGAAAATGGATATGGGTATAATGTAGCACGCAGAAGTTAGCGTATCCGACCTTGGTCTTCTGAGTTGTTTTCGCAGTTTAAAGCACGACTCAAAAATTATTAGAGCTATGTGCAGCTTGCGGTATAATATAGAAGAGACTAAAATTATAACCCAAAGCTAAGGTATTTATACACATTTGGGTGCTGCATAGAGATCGGACTATAAATACCGATGCTAATCAATGATCACAGTGAAAACGCAGCACATGTGTATAGAAGGAAGCTAGAATGTATAGAAGGTGGCTTAGCACGAGGCTTAGCGTATTTTCTAGTCGTCCACTCTTAACTAGAGCATTCTTTACTTGTTTCTTTTTTGTTTTGGCTACTGTTTTTATGGCCATGAACGTGGCGGAGCCCAGGAGCAGTTATTTTTGGGGCATGTAGTTGTTGTTGTTGGACACAAGGTCCATTTGTTCTTTTGGCATTTAGAAGACAATGGGCATATTTTCACTACTAAGCGGCTTAGCTCGTATCGCGGGAGTTACATACTGTCCTAAGCAGTATCCGTATTTATGGCTGTCTAATGTCTTGTTGCCATTTGTTGTGCACTTAAGCCAACATACGCTTTCATATGTTGGCCGGCTCCGGCTCTGGAATTGATGGGCTCATCAGCTGGGCTCCAGTTTTATGGCACGATGAACTTCGAGAATATAAGCTGCTTGACCCAACTGTACATAGTCAACGCTTGGCAGCTTGAAGTGCATGTCGCCAGCATCAGCAAATGAGCAAAAACTGCACATAAATGGCAAACCTTCCGCTTGAACATCAAAGACAGTGCCGGAAACAGCAAGCACTGGAAACTGGGTCTGTCCAAACATGTCGCCAGCTTGGTGGCACTCAAAATAAATGCCAAGCAAAAAACATGTACACTGACATTGCTTACTCCCTCCAACTTGCTTCATCTATCTCTCACACAGATACACATACACACACACTCTTAATAAAGCCCCTTCTGTTGTGGTTCGTGACCTCCAACGTTTCATCGTTTGTAAGTACACTACAGGTACGCACAAGTATTGTAATTAACCATGCTACACTTAAGTCAGGAGCCTCAAGTATACTTTAAGCTTACCTTAATATTATGTGAACTATATTATTAATCATAATGCTTAACATCCTCTCTTTCTTTAATTTGATATTTATTTATTAATTTTATTATACAGCTGATAGAGTATATGCACTTCGTGGCGTTAATGTTAGCCTCTTGCATGTAATTTTTTTTTTGCTTTAGTTCTTATTTCCCGACAAAATTGGCTTAAACTCTTGCAAGTTCATAAAACAAACAACAAAATTTGAAAAGTTGCAAGTGGCAGCAGCACCAAAAACTTTGCCATTGTCTGCAATGACGTTGCCTGAACTTGAAATTTACGTTAGTTAAATTATCAAGTTTGGCGGGGCGATGACTTGCCCCAAAAGTTTTCAAGCGAAATGCATTTTTTGATTATTATTTTGACCGAACTTCGAATGCGTCCCACTGGACTCCTCCAACCAAGGCCAAAACGTGCTGCACTGTGTGGTTTTAAGAAATCTGCTCAAAGTGGTTTTTGTGTGTTGCCACACGACATAATTTGCCATTAGCTGCTGTGTGTGTTTGTGTGCGTGTGTGTACGTGTGTCTGTGATGACGTCTGGCATGAACGCCGCAAAGTATACTATAATTCACTGAGGCACATTGCCACCTACACAGCCAGCTGCTTCAATACGTTGGAATAAGCTATGTGTGTGTGTGTGTGTTATTTGGCTTAAGTTAACCAACAAAATTGTCCCAGGTTACAAAAACTTGTTAGCCAGTAGATATGCGGGCGATTTAAGCGGGCTAAATGTGAATTACAGGAAACGTTCACAATAAAATATGCACCAGAGTACGCGAACAGCCACAAGTTTCAGCTACATTTTTGAATTGTCAATAGATGCATACATAAATATATGTATATATGTGTAATGTGTTGCTCTTTTTATTAATTTACATATTCCGATTGAATGTATTTATCATTTCATTTATCAACTATAGGCTAGTTTATTATTAATGAATACATAACAAAACAATTTATCAAATAAGTTGAAATTTAAAAATTTTATGCGTTATTGCCAATGTTTTCAGACTAACTTCGATGGAGGTCGGGAACGGCTATCTGGGTAAGCAGTGTCGGCAAATACTTTTCAAGCTGTGCACAATTTTCTTTTGAGCTCTTCGTGGGCGGGACAGAAGGGGGAGGGTAAGTTGGATTCACTCGTTTAAATGTATGGAACACGACAACTGCGAGCAGAGCAAAACGTGTCTAATTTAAAATAAACTATATTAAATATACGTACGCATATACATATCCATATATAAATATAGAGGCTATTTAGTACTGATTGCTTACAATTTAAGTCTATTCCTGATTCAGGTTCTTGATCACGTAATTAACAATGAGTGCAAATATTGCAAAACAGATTATAATCACCAGGTTCGAATAGATCGACTGCCAATTTAAATAGGAATTCCGTGCGCTATTCTTGAGCGCAGCCGCACCACCACTGCCCACATCCGCACTTGCAGCAGTACCTACCGCCAGCCCGTCACTGGGGCTACCATCCGTTGGCAATGGCAGTTGCCCATTGGCACTACTGGCATTTTTGTTACGTTTATCAATGGCAACGGCACTGCCGTTAGCCAAACCATTCGCGCGCGAAGAAGAGCTGGTGCCCGGCTTGGCAGCGTTGGCTGCAGCCTGGGTGCCCTGTAAACGTAACTTAATCTCGTTGACAATGTCCGGAAACAGCTCACAGAAGTTGGCATTGCGCAGGTTAAATGCAAGCGATTTCTGGGCAAACATTTGCTTGTCATAGCTCGAAGACTCTATGGATCCCAGTGTGGGTGTACTCTCTAGCTACAAAGTAAAGAAAACAAAGGTGGACTAAATAGAACGAGTAAATTGTATGCGCAGAAATCTTACCATAAAACTCAGCAGACCTGTGAGTATAGTGCCCACACACCAAGTCGGATTCCATGTGTCAGGATGAAAGTCTACAAAGCAAACGCAATTAAATACTTAGCTATAAATCGAATAAGTTGCCAAAATCCTTTTGAAAACTATAGGGTTGAGGCATTTGTCTATTGCCCATAATGAAGTTAAAAATTACCTGAAATGCTTAAACACAGTCTGGTGTTTGTTTTGAAGCGTCCATTCGGCGTTAGCATATAAATAGATGGTGGCTTAAAAGGAAACTCTCTTGGAAAGAGCAGCGTGCCGTGATAGTATCCGCCATAATATGGTGAGTCCTCGGGCCCTTTGACACAATAGTGCCATTCCAGAATGTTATTTGGCAACGGCTCAGCGGTGATGTACGGCAACGGGTCGCGTTTTAGGCGCATGTAATCCTGTTTCATGCGAGACACGGCCGTGGGCTGTTTGCGGGCGGCCGACCCGGACGCCGTCGACGAGGACATTTTCGTTAAATAATTTTTGACCCGTTTGCTGTTCCTTGAAATGAAACTGATGCAACATAAATAAAAAAAAATATCTTGGCATATATTACACACGCACACTGACTAATATCTTTATAATATCAAATAGTTGTGCTGATAACAATAATGTTAGTTGCCCATAATTGTCAGATTGTATTAATATGTATTGTGTGTTTGTGTTTGTGTGAAACACCCACTGCCAAGAACGGAAGTGCAAAAATTACACGTGGCCTATTGCATTGGGGGTGGGCACTCCTTAAGCTTGGCAGTTGTGTAGATTAGCCCACCACACCAAATGCAATGTTTTATTTCCTGCCCAGCGTGATTTGCGCTCGGTTTGTTAGCTGCTAGGCAAGATTACTTTATGTGCGGAGTGCTTTTTGTTAGTTGTTTGCTTAGCTCACCAATCTCGTGAATTGTGTTTCCTTGTTGTTGCTATCGTAATTGCAATTTACAGCTAGGTCACAGCTGCCCAGCGAAAATGTGTGAAAACAACACAAACACAGCGGATTGATGCAAGTTGCATTCGACTTTTGTCTTTGTTGTCCGAAGCCTTTGATTCGTGTTTCTCCAATGTGCGGTCTTTGCTTTGGCTTAGCCTATTGTTTAATTATGAAATATTTCAATGTAAATTTATTTGAAGTTCGTAAAACTGCAATTTGTATTGTAAAAAATTTCTCTTGACGTCGTTCTAGGTAAATAAAGTTGTAAAGCGAATGAAAATAGTGTTAAGTAACGTTGCTTGGTTGCTTTCCGATAAATCTTTTTCGGTATTCATTTTTTGGTATTTTTTATGAGTGCTGCCAACCTGGCATTGAATTTGAAAATATCCAGTATACATATATATGCAAATTGTTTATAACGTACCTTTGCATACAAAACACTGAGTATTAATTGTGAGTCAAGATCTTAAACTTTAGTCAATGCACAAAATATTACATATGTTGAAATGAACTCGAAAAATCGTAGCCTATCATGGACAATAGAACAAATATTATTGTTGTCGATCAACTGATAAAAGCTAAGCAATATATATACGTACATATGCGTATACAAACTTACAAATGATAACCCGCTATTGCGATTAAGCAATGTAGACTTTATTGTTGGAACATTGAATGGCAAAAGGGTGGGGAGGGTATTACGACGCACCAAAGACTAGATTTTCTTATCAGAACGTTCAGCTTACCGACGGCCAGATGAAAAACAGTTGCTGCTTGAACAACGGAAAGTGCAGTCAGTGGTTGTTTTGCTAGCTATTAAATGGGATCTATAGGAAAAATCGGGTTTCTTGGCGGTGGCAACATGGCCAAAGCCTTGGCAAAGGGTTTTATAGCCGCAGGTAAGCCCGTTTCGATTACATTTATTAACATTATTCAACTCAACAAACTGTTGATCAAGGTCTGACCAAACCCAGCGGCATTATAGCCAGTGTACATCCGGCGGACAAGGTATCACAGCAATCCTTTCAATCTCTGGGCATCGAAACACTAGTCGAGAACGCACCCGTCGTGGAGAAATCTGAAATTGTTTTTGTCTCTGTCAAGCCACAGGTGGTGCCCAAGGTGCTAGCAGAGATTAAGCCGTTAAGCGCAAATAAGCTTTTCCTTTCTGTAGCCATGGGCATCACATTGAAGAGCCTCGAGTCCAGTTTATCAACGCAATCGCGGGTTATACGCGTCATGCCAAATACCCCGGCTTTGGTCTGTTCCGGCTGTTCAGTCTACGTACGCGGCAGCCAGGCGAGCGATGCAGATGCACAAGTCACCCAGCGCCTACTTGAGGCTGTTGGCACGTGCGAAGCCTGTGATGAGTCGCAGCTGGACATAGTCACAGCCCTGAGTGGTAGCGGGCCCGCCTATGTGTTCGTAATGATCGAAGCGCTAGCCGATGGCGCCGTGCATATGGGCATGCCCAGAGATCTAGCCTACCGTTTGGCAGCACAGACAGTGCTAGGTGCCGGTCACATGGTACGTGAATGCGCCACACATCCCGGCCAGCTGAAAGACAACGTAACCAGTCCGGCTGGCTCAACGGCAGCGGCCTTAAGGCATCTCGAGCGATCAGGTACGTACCTAGCCTCGCACTTGTTAAAGACAAAGCGCTTATCACTGGACTTTGCAGGTTTCCGTGCGGCAGTTGCTGGGGCGGTGGAGGCTGCAACGCTGCGCTGCCGGCAGATCTCGGGCGAACAGACGTAGACGCAATAAATAGGTTCTGTTTTTTTTTTGTTTTCATAATAATTAAAGTACTCAACACATTTTGCCTTAAAACTTTTACTATACACGTGAGACTTAGAACTTTTTTCGCTTTTTGGCGCGTGCCAGTTCATTAAGTTCGCCCTGCTGTACGGAGGCTTCCTGGTAGATACGTTTGACCTTTTCATGACGTTCCTTATCACTGCAATGGAAAATTTTAAAATGTTAGCAAAGGTCTTTTATTTAAATTCGCATACACTCACCTTTGCAACTGTTGTTTCAGCTTCAAATCTTGCACAAAGGCCGTGTCTCTACGTATTTCGCGAATAGCGCCCTTTTTCTCGCGCTTGATTTTGTGCAGCAGCTTAGCGCGCTCCTCCTTCTGTTTGGACATTTTGGGTCGTCGCTTATCATCATAGACCACCTCAAACCGAGGCTCCAGCAGACGCAAGGCCTTTGGCTTCTTGTCGGGTGGAGCCAGCGGCTTCATTTTCTTCGCCGCTACACACTCCAGCGTAGACTTTGCCTCGGCAAAGTGCTGCTGCACATGTTTGGGATAGAGCTTAAGCGGGAGAAGTTCCATTAGAGGCAAAAAAGGACTGGCCAAAAAGCAGGCTCCAGTGTGCTCGCCTATCTGCTCCTCAAAGATTTGCTTAACCAGACGCAACGTTATGTCCAGAGCTCGTACTTTAAAGTCCAAGGTTATTGTGTGCGTAACCAGATCCGCAGCCTGAAGCTGCTGTGACTCAAGCGTTTTACTCTCGCTCGTGGCTGGTATTGCCAACAATTTGCTAAAGGGTCCATCGCGTTCAAATGGCGGCACAATCTCTATCTGGTCAACCTGGCGCTTGGGTATGGCCATGTGAACTATGCCCAGCAAAAAGTTAAAAACTGCCGGAAGCAGACGCTTGGAACGCGACCCGAACTCCAGGGCAATGGTGATTATAAACAGACCCATGGCAATGTCCTGGCGTGTTCGTACGCGCGCTCTCGACAATATATGCTGCATGAAAATGTACGTGGGAGTGGCCAATGGATGACGAAAGTCCGAGGTGGAATACAGATTCGAGACAAGCTTAAAGTAGATTAGCGTGTCTAGCGTAGGATACACTTTGTGATTCTTCCGGTACTCAGCATACTTTTCCTTAATCACATCCAGCAATGTATTAGACATGCGGTCCGGATTTAGATGTGTGAGGTCATACAGATGCGGCATAAGCTGCGCAACCAGCTGGAAATGTAAGCGAATGTCCTGCTCGCTGGCATCCTCGAACATATCCTTAATATACTGTAGCAGAAACGCGTAGAGTTTAACCACATTCTCACGATTGACGCCCTCCAGTTTGGGATGATTGCACTTAATGATGCGCTCTACAATGGTGACCTGTTGCGTAGGCGTATACTTGGCCAGAAGCTCGGTGAAGTCCTCATATGTCTTAGGCATTTTGATAGTGTAGGGTATGCTGGTGTCAACCGTTTCAGAAGTTTTCTGCTTTTGAGGTTTGGTTTTATTTTTGGGTTGTGGTGCTTCACCTTGATCAGATTCGCTGTCCGATTCTTTCAGGTCACTTAAGTTATCCACCTCAGAATCGCTATCTTCAGTTTCTTCTTCATCATCATCGTCATTCTCACCATCTTCCTCACTCTCGTTATCTTTTTCATCGCTCTGCCCGGTTGCATCACCCGCTTCCCTTTTGCTATTCAGATGCGTGCCAAGGTTGCCGTCCAAATCGTAGGCTAGAATATCGTCGCCATCATCCTCGTTGCCCGCCGCAAAGTAGCCATCATCCAAATCGTCAGCTGATCGATGTGGGATCTGTACATTTGCTTCCTGCTCTTCACCATCCGCTTTCATGCGCCGCAGTCGTTCATTTTCGAGTTTATCCAGACGTGCAGCCTCCTGTTTGGCCAGCTCCTCGGGATCTATGAGCTTGTCTGTGACACTGCCACGCGGTTCAAATATCATCTCTTTTAGCAACTTGTCATATGCATCGGGAGGAGGCTTTTCGTGCTGCTCATCTTTGGTTGCCTTTGCCACCAGCGGCAACAGCTCCTTGTAGTTTGCATCTAACTTTTCCGTAAGATCATGGACTTCATCCTTGTCCTTCGCTATTTCATTTTTCCGACGTTTCTGCTCACTAATCATTTCTTCTATGGCCGTTTGACGATCTTGCGGCGTGTCGCCGTCACCGCCAAAATGCGCGGTTGAAGTAAACTCAGCTGTAAAATTAAAATAGGTAACCCATTTGCTGACTACTATACTGCAAATACGTACCGTTAAGACCCTCATCGTCGATATCCTCGTCATCTGAACGTTCGTCTCTGTACTGCTCAATCTCCTCAAGCGTTTGACCTCTATGTGTGAGCAACTCGTCGTCATTTAAGTTAAACTTTTCTGCCTTGTTTGAGGCGCGCACTTGAGCCAATTTCTCAGACAGAAATCGTGCATTCATCACAGACTCTGTCAACTGGTCGCCGCTTAGATGTTTGCCAATGCGATGGTCCACAAATTTGTTGGTTTTGTGTTTAACCGCATATTGCCGGCCGAGAGTTTCAGAGCGTTTCTGCAGGGCTTTAGCACGGGAAACACCAGGCAAGCCTCGATCATGCTTGCAAATCCGACCTAGGATCTTAAATTTTTCCTTGTTCACGTGCACGTCAAACGGGTTCAAGCGCTTGGCGGTTTGGGCTATTGCAGTGTCGAAGGGATTACTGCTTTTAACTGATTTCTTAGAATACACTGCATCGGCGTTTGACTTTTTACTCTTTGCACCCATTCTACTAATCTACTTTAAACAATATGAGTGCATGCGGAAAATGAAAACAAATGCAGCACACGTGCGTTATGGCTATCGATATGCTTAATCGATATATTATTAATGTTGATAGGTAAATATAAGCACTAACCAAATATAAGCGAGCTTCTTAGCTGCTTTTTTTTATGTTCTTTAAATTAGCCTAGCAAGTATTGTACAAATAGTTGCTTATTAAACAAAATTCAGTTTGAAGCTAGAGGGTGGCACATCTAAGGTTAATAATATTAAGCCAGATATCGAAAATAAAATATTAGAAGGAGGCGGAACTATAAATGCATGGTGGGCAGCAGGAAAAAACGGCTAGAAAAACTTTATACTAATGCACGATAGTATATCGATAAGAAAATATATCGCATAGTTCATATATGCTATGACTATGTAATCGTCTATGTAATCGATTCATCGCTGAAAATTATACAGCTCTACCAGCAAAAGCATCCCTGTTTGGATATGTACATCTGTGTGTGAGGTTTTCGGCGAAAACCAGCGTTTAAAACTTTGGATATATTTGTAAACGTGCATATAAAATATGAAAATAGTGAAAATACTTGAGTAAAGCAAGTAAAATATCAGATATATATATCTAGAATTAACCTGCAACATATAGTTGCAGCAAATAATTGCCGCTTGCCACGCAATTGTGCTTTGCAATTGTAATTGCATTGGTATTGGTGAGCTGTGTGAGGCCGCCGTGTACGTGCGGCACTTCGGCAGTTGTAAAATATTTCATTTTATGTAAACCGGACATAAGTTTTTGGCAAATCGTCTGAAAAATATAAGTTTTAACAATTATATAATGAGTGCAACGCCACCAGAACTGCTGCAACTGCAGCAGCCCATCGGAGGGGGTAAGGAAAAAGAAGCCAACGGTGGTAATGACAATGACTACCGAAGTCGCGATAAGGAACGTTCGCGTTCCAGAGATCGTGGCAGGGATAAGGAAAAGGATAGAGAGCGCGAGAAAAAACGAAGGTAAGTGTCGGATGCTTACAATTTTTGTAATTACTGATCGAGCATTATCTTTGCAGAGATCGAGAACGTGGCAGCAAGGATCGCGATAGCCGTCGACGTGAGAGCCGTGAACGGGACAGGGACCGTGAACGTGGTCGTGATCGTGATTCCCAATCGCACCGCAGCCGCTCGAACAACCATGATGACTACGACAGACGTAAGAAACGCTCGCGGAGCAAGGATCGCGATCGCAGACGCGAACGGGATCGCGAATCACGCTCAAGACGCAGCGGGTCACGTGGTGGAGGAAACCGCGATGATTACGATCGCAATCGCAGACGACGCTCCAATAGTCGCAGCTATGACCGGCGTCGTAATGAGCGGAGCAATGAATCGCAACGTAATAGCCGAGAGCGGAGCAGTCGGGAGCGCAGCAGTCGTGAGCGCACATATGTGAATCCATTTGACACTTCGAACAGTCGCAACTTATTGCATGACCAGGAGTCTCGAATACCGTCTCTGTTCGAGCGCCACCACCAACAGCCGCAGCTGGAGTCTATTAGAGAGGAACCCAGTTCGCGCTTCGATCTTTCACAGACTATTCAGGATCTTATGAGCAATGTGGGTAACAACAAAAGCTTTGCATCACTATTTAGCAACCAGAATAGCAATGATTCCATGAGCAATGGAATCTCGGAGAACTCAAGTAGGTGTTGCGGAATGATTTTTAAAACATAATTATTGAGTACTTTTTTAAATTCTCAGTGGACAGTGCAGCGGAACGCAAGCGCAAGCGAAAGTCTCGATGGGGCGGAACTGAAAAGGACAAGACATTTATACCGGGCATGCCCACAATTTTGCCCTCAACGTTGGATCCGGCACAGCAAGAAGCCTACTTAGGTAACGTCGCAATATTCATATGATTTGTAGTTAGATAACAACTAAGTTAGTTTGTAAGGTTAGATATAAGCCTAATGACAACTAATGAGAAAAACAAACACAGCCACAAATAGTCGCGGGGAGATCACAGTAAGCGTTACCGTTATCCACCACAGTTAGAAGTCCATTTCAGAGGGCCGGACGTGCGAGCAAACGTAAAACCACAACAAAATTGCATTGAGCACACTATAATAATCTCTCGTTCTCTTTTTGAAGGGATTCCGGCGTGTGACACAAACGACACGAGTTCCAAACGGCTAGATAATAACCTTATCTTATTGCCCAAAGAGAAATACATGAACCAATCCAATCAACCTACAAATCAAATAAATCGATCAATAATCTTATTAATTGTAACGCTCACAAATT